TTTTTTTGTCTTTTGTCTTTTTCCGTGTCTGGCAATGGATCGCAACCCTCAGTGTTGCCCCCGTACCGGACCGGGGACCGGCAACGGGATCGCAACCCTTGGTGTTGCTCCCGCGCCTCGCTCAGCCAGTGAGCGGGAGCCGGTCTGCATGTGGGATCCGAACCCTCGGGCGGGAGTGCCACCGCGCTTCCCAAGCAGCGCACTATCCAGTGCGCCACCGGGCCGGCCCTGGAACTGGTAATTTGTAAAGAAAACAAAATTTATCGCTTACAGTTTTGGAGGCTGGTAAGTCCGAAGTCCAGGGAACACTTATGGTGAGGGCCTTCTTTGGTTGTGACTTTGGTGGTGCAGGGTCTCACACAGTAAGAATGGCAGAACAGAGACAGAGGGAGACTGTTCGTGTGCTCTCCTTTCAAAGCCGTCTAAACCACGCCCCTGACCACCATTGTTAATCCATTACTACAGCATGGTCCTACAATCTAATCACGTCTTCAAGACCCCACCTTTCAATAACCACAATAGGACTTCCCACCCTCTTAACCCAGTCACAAGTGAGGACCAAGCCTGCAATACATTAAGCTTTGGAAGACACAATTTGATCCATAATAATTTGTTTGCAATGAGAGTGGACAGTGAATACTAGCAGTTATATAGAAGCTTTAGGGTGGAAATGATGATCTAGCTTTACCCTCTTACTTTACAAAATAGGCAGAAGATCAAAAATCTTGTCAAAGTCCACTTGGGTCATAAGTGCAGAGTTATACTGGAGTGGCTGCTACAGAAGCTTTGAGGCTCTAGAGGGTGATAAGATTATTGCTGAGGTGGGGCCAGATTGTGAATGACCTTGCCCTTTAAAATGAGAGTTGAAGAAAAAAGAACAGATTTTCTGTCTCTCTCTGAATATAATATTTCTGTTTTTCTCTTGTATTTCTAGAAGGCCTTTGAGCCCTACTTTGAGATTTTGGAAGAATATTCCACAAAAGCCAAGAATTATATAAATGGGCATTGCACCAAGTATGAGCCCTGGCAGCTAATTGCATGGAGTGTTATGTGGACTCTGCTGATAGTCTGGGTTTATGGGTTTGTCTTCCAGCCAGAGAGTAAGTATACTGTCTCCTGTGTAAGGTTTGGTGGAGTGTAACTAGCTTTGGGACTCAAGGCTGACAGATTGGACTAATTTCTTGCCTTCTGGTTTTGTTCTGATTTTAAAAATCTGTTTAAATGGAAAGCAGTACATTGTCTTCTGATTGGTAAAGTTATAATAGGACTTATGTAATTGTTACTGTTTATGTTGATTTTTTTGGATTTGTAACTTACATAAAAACTCCTTAGAAACTAGTTACTGTAAAGATCCACAGATATCTCAGAGTGTGGCTTAAACCTTGTTCAGTGTAAATTTCTTTTCTAGAAAATAATTGCATCACCTGGAGTTTCCAGAGCAAGAATTTATTACTTTCATTTTGGGCCTTCCTTTTCAATAAAGATTAGATGAAATTGGAATAGCACTCATGTGGTTACCACTTGAGTGCCTGTTATATGCCAGGCTAGGTTCTGGAGATATCTGCACAAGTTGTCCCTGTTCTCTTGGAGTTGAACTTCTGATGTCAAGGGACAGTGCACTAGAAGCTTCCTGGTAGTGACTCAGGGAGCCAGATTGACATGGGGAAGAAGGAGGCCACTTCTCAAGGAGGACAGAAGATAAGAAGTCTGTTAGTGATCTGCTTGTAAATACTCCATCCTTCCTAAGGTTTAAGCCCCTCTCCTGCCCACTAGTCTCCTTCCCCATCCAGAAACTTGTTTGCATGTTACCTTGTGAATTATTTTCCCCCTGTAGGTTGTGCTTGGTGAGTTTTGTTTGATTGTACCTAAATACAAGGGTACTTCAAAAAGTTCATGGAAAAATGGAATTAAAGATAATGCAAATCTTTTCATGAAAGTTTTGAAGACCCTTCATATAAATTGTAGGTTTGGTTGGTGGTGGGTGTTCTGTAACACTTCCTGCACCCCTTCCCCACTCGTAGTTGGTAGGCTATCTGAGTTAACTTCCTTGGAATAAGAAACCAGTTACATAGAAGTGAATTGCTAGTTATTTCTCATTTGTTTGAAATTTCTGCAATGCTTTGCTTCCCTGGTAACATCAGTTTGAAGGAGCTCTTTAACTGTACCTTTTCTGCTTTTCTTCCTCTTCCCTCAGGAAAGTGAATATATAGAAGCCAGACAGATAGCCATCAGGCTGTTCTAGTAATACTGCAGTTATGGCATGGTAAACATTACAAAATGTGACAACAAAGCAGCAAGTTCCACTGCTTAGAGCTTTTACGTTAAAGTAGAAATGAGATGTGACTGTTCTGTCTAAAATTTTAGTTCATTCCAGCTTTAAAAACCCGACTTCAGTTTCTGCTTCTAGTCCTTGCAAGATTTTCTCATAAACTCTGACATATTAGACTGACTGGCCCTTCTGCTGCATTGGCTCAGTGGCTTGGATATGGATGCAGACCATGTCATTCTGCTCAGGCTTATTCCTTTCTCAGGAAGCATTCAGTTCAGTGAATAAGATGCCCATCATCCTGCAAGGTGAAGTGCCCATTCCAAAGGACTCTAAGGAGTAGCAGGAAATGTATTTTTCTTTTAATTTCATTTTTCCATGAACTGTTCGAAGTACCCTCGTATGTAATGTAAAATTTACCATTTTAACCATTTTTAAGTGTACAGTTCTGTGGCATTAAGTACATTCACATTGTTGTGCAGCCGTCACCACCATCCATCCACAGAACTTTTTCATCATCACAAACTGAAACTCTGTTTCGTTAAACATTAAACAGTAACTCCCATAACCCTCTTCCCCTAGCCCCTGGCAGCCACCATACTGTGTGCTTTTCTTTTTACAATGGTACCTCTATGAAACCAGACTAAGAGATCTTGAGATTTATATTTCTTTGCTATGATTAGTAATAACTTTAAGTATTTCTTTTAAAAAAAACTTTTAAAGTAATTTTTTTAGTTGGTGATTAAAAATTGTAGATATTTATTGTGGACAACACGTTGTTTAGCACTTTGCTGAGGTAGAAGCATGCTACATATTGCTGAACAATCAAGTTATTTTTAGTATGTTGCACTAGAGGAGTCTGAAGTCTGGACCAGTGATAAGTTTTGCTGATCTTCAAACTCTGAATCCCCTCCTGAAGGGAGAGGGTAATTCTAAAATAAAGGATAGACTGGGGTAGGTAAGAACTAGAAGTGGCGAGAGTGTGGGTAGGGGTTGGCAGCTCTCAAACATGTTATCTCCTCCTCAGTTCGGCACTATGATTATCAGCTTACCACTTTTTTATGTGGTAGATGGAGATGATAAACTCTGTTTCTTGCTGTGGCACGTTGGGCAACACCCCTAAGCTCTCTTAGCCTATATCCTCACATTAATATAGGCATAATGATACCTGCGTTACCTAGTCACAGGGGTAATACGAGGATCGAATGGTGTCATTTTCATGAAAGGAATTTGTAAACTGTGAAGAGCCATGTGTCATTGTTCTTACACTAGCATTTCCTATTTTGTTATCTTTAAAAAATCTTTTTTAAAATTATTTTTTAAATTGACAAATAAAAATTGCATATTAATGGTGTACACATGATGTTTTGAAATATGCATATGCTGTGAAATGGCTAAATTAAACTCATTTACCTTTGCGTTTCCTCGCATACTTATTGTTTCTTTCATGGTGAGACCATTTAAATTTACTCTCTCAGCAGTTTTTAAGTATATAGTACATGTTATTTACTATATTCACTATGTTGTAGCATAGATCTCTTGAACTTATTGTTCCGTCTAACTGGAGTTTTGTGTCCTTTGACCAGCATCTCCCCAATCCTTCCTCTCTCCACTGTGCGCCAGGTAACCACCACTAAAAAATTCTGATTACTTTAATTTTTGTGCCTCTGGAGACTTTTGCTTTTGAGATTTTTGTTTTAGGTCATGACCACATAATCTTTTCATTTTTAATTTTTCCATCCCTGATCCTGTATTCTGTTCTTTTTGCCCTGTGCCATTTTTTTTCTTACAACTTTCACAAAATTAGTCTATTCTTTTATCTTCCTCCTAGTTGCATTACTGTATTTTTGGACACCTGGCTCAGTTTGCTGATTTTTAGGCCTCTTTCCACCTTATTAATTACTTCATCTATTAAATAAGGAAGCAGTTCTGAATCTTTACAGCTTTAACATTGTTAGAAATAGTTGAATAAGGGCCAACCCCATGGCTCACTTGGGAGAGTGTGGTGCTGATAACACCAAGGCCACGGGTTCGGATCCTACATAGTGATGGCTGGTTAGCTCACTGGCTGAGTGTGGTGCTGACAACACCAAGCCAAGGGTTAAGATCCCCTTACTGGTCATCTTTAAAAAAAAAAAAAAAAGAAAGAAAAAAATAGTTGAATAACAAGCAGGAGGTTTAATACCCAACATTAGGTTATACTCATTTGATGGACTATTATGACAACATTTAAAAATATGTTTAGGAAGAATTTTTAGTAATGTAGAAAATGCCATAAGCGAGAAGAGGATAAAGTTGTTTTACGTGAAACAAGACCTCAGCCATGTATTACTATGTGTAGAACATAGGAATGAAAGGAAATACTCCCAAAATTTAAAAAAAATAACCATAGACAAGTGGTTTTAATCTCCTTGTCATCTGATTCAGTCTGTGTCTTAGTTACCTAGTTTAATTCCAGGCATTTACCAAGTGTTGTCTATAGGGTGAGGGAGAAAGACACAGACACAGCCTAAGCAAAAATGCCTGGCAAAGATGCAACGTATCATGCAATAATACAAAAAGAGGGTGCAGACATGTCTTGTAGTTTCTGAGTGGAGAGAACTTCTGGCCAGGGAGGTTGGAATGATCAGATCTCTGGGAATGGAATAAGGGTTCATACTCAGTTCATTCCTTGAATAAAAACTAGGTCCAGATTCTTATAGATTCATTTGGGATAATGGAAAATTCCTATTGTGCATTTAAAGCATTGTAGAGTCCTGGGAGTCCTGGACTAAAAAAATGAAGTCTTTAGTCAAAACCCTGCTCCATCACTGATTTGATGTGTGGCCTTGAGCATGTTTTAGTGCTCTGATCCTCAGTTGCCTTTTATGTCCCTCTTGGATAGTATACAATACTTTTTATGCAAACCCCAAAATATTGTTGTCAGAGTTGGTTGAGATATATTGAATGTCAGTGCATTAGAAGGTATATCCATCTTTTTAGATACCATGTATTTATAATTATTGTAATTGACAGGACTGGAATTCTATGTCCTATGTACTACTGCATGACAGAATGGACTCCGATTGGCATCCACTAATTTGAAGGCCTTTTTATGTCCAGAAAGTGTTGCTAGGATCTGTGTTGGATGAGAGACTGGAGCATAAATCTTAAATAAAATCATTTGTTTTGGGGGGAAGAAGAGAAATGTTTGGCATCTGGAAATCTTGGGAAGGTCAAGAACTCTGAAATACATATACCATTTTTTTTTTCCCTTTTTTTGTCTTTTCTCGTGACCGGCAACGGATCGCAACCCTCGGTGTCGCGCCCGTACCGGACCGGGACCGGCAACGGGATCGCAACCCTCGGCGTTGCTTCCGCACCTCGCTCAGCCAGTGAGCGGCTGGTCTGTATGTGGGATCCGAACCCTCGGCGGGAGTGCCGCCGCGCT